CGTACGGCCCCGTGAAAGTTTTTCACGGGTAAGTTAATATCTCGGGAACCACGAAGTCTAGGAGGCCGAAATTTTAGGTTAATAACCCCCCTTCCCTCCACGCTCAACCTTGCCCATTCAAATTCAGCGTTCCCGCGCTCTCGGGTATCACCTACGGCCTCGTGAAAATTTTGGCGGGTGAATTATTAACTCGGGAATCACGGAAAGATATTCACCCTTCAAGGTTTCGAATTCAACTTTCATACGTTAGTGCGCGAAATTTTTAACTATTTTCCAACGTTTGAATATTTTTGCATAGACAAAAGTATACAAAGCAAGTGAAAATCATTAATAGGCAATCGTTCGATGGGCTGAATTGCACAAAACGCGTGATCGCACCGGCTAGTTTGGTGCGAGTTGCTCTTTATTTATATTGGCCGTGACTGCACTAAATTGGTCACTGATAATGCAATCAAAGGCCAGAACATATTCACTTTTTTCGAAGCAGAAGCGCTTGGAAGTATTTGTCTGTAGCCGCATTACAGAGAGGGAGTTGGTACTCTTTTGCACGTTCCAACAACCCATTCAGGGGGTGAGAATGTAGTCCCACGTGCTGTAATTGCTTCAGAATCCAGCTTGCTTCCTCGGCTGCTGTTTGTCGTAAAGAGACTTATTAGTCGGTTAGTGATAATCCTCGTAAACGGCTTGTAAATATGGGAAAATAAGCAGAACAAATGGTGACAAGGATGTCGGTGATTTCCCCTTATGAGCAAAATGATGGTGGATTTAATCTCTCTCCCCTCCCAATCCCCTCTTCTTAGGCATAGGATTTGGCTATTGTAAAAAACAAGTTGTAAAAAAAACCCCACCGATCTCCCTTCTCAGGCATAGGATTTGGCTATCTGTTTTCAAAACAAACTACAAAAAAAAAGATTCACCGAAAAGAGTAAAAAATAGAGAAAAATATAAAGTGTTGTAGAAATCTTAAAGATACAAACAGTGAATATCCCTGGCTAGGAGACTAAAACAGGACGAGGACCTGAAATCGGTTGCTGGCCCAGCATCGTGGAGAGAGAGGAACACAGTCGAATTTTGACAAATAATGAAAACACACTGGAAGTGCTTAATATATACTTGAATATTTTGAGAAAAAAAATTTTTTTTTAGGATATACTTACAGTCTGTGTGTATTGGGTATGTTGCAGTGGCTCTTCTTATGGCTTATCCGGATGGCAATGGCATCCGATGTCTATCTCGGTGATAGTATTTATGAGGCCATCAATTGTGGTCAGTTGTTTTCTTGTCTTTGTAATCCGTAATCTGTTTTTTTTCAGTAGAAAATCGTCTCGATCTTTGTTGTCGAATATTTTTTACTAGCCTTCCATAGCCTTAGAGAACTCTTCCGTGTCTTCGTAGTTGGCCGAAATCCTCATAGTTCTCCCCTAAAAATTCTCTTCCTTCACAAAAAAGGCTTGTTGAGTCAAAAGCCCTCAAATTTTTTGTAAAAACTTTTACATCAAAAATATATTTTTGCATCCTGTGCTTCATTAAACACATTTATATTGGCCATGAAAACTTTTTAAAATTTAAAGAATTAGTCGGCATATATGAGCCATCAGGTATACAAAACAGATTTGCTACTTATTATCACTGTAAAGCGTTTATTATTTTCGAATACAAATGGCTTCTGTCATATGCACCAATCAATCATTATTATTATTACTATTGCTATCACTATTATTGTCGTTATTATTATTATCATTGTTGTTATCGTTATCATTATCATTATTGTCATTATTATTATTTCACTATTATTTTCGCTGTTATTATCATTGTTATTATTGTCATCATTATCATTATTATTATTGTTATTATTATCGTTATCATTGAAGAACTTTTTTATCATTATTTATCATTCAAGAATTCAAAAATTCAAGAAATTTATCATTCAAGGATCATTATTTATCATTCAAAATTTATCATTATCATTCAACACTCAAGAAAAAAAAATTTTTTTCGTGTGCAAATCGCCTTTGTTATATGCACCATTTAATTGTTACTGTTATTATTAATAATATTATAGTCATTACCATTATTATCATCATCATCGTTATTATTGTTCCATTATTATTATTACCTTTAGTGTTGTTATCATTATTACTGTCACTTATTATTATCGTCGTTATTATTATTATTATTATTATTATTATTATTATTATTATTATTATTGCCGTTATCACTACCATTATTATTATCATCACTATTATTATTAGCTATCGTCATTATTAGTGTTATTATTATCGTTATTATTATCACTGTTATTATCATTATTCTGTTTTGTTCTCTGTTATTTCTATTCTGCTGACGGGCATAACGCCCTGACAAGCGGTAATGCTTCCATGTTAAAGGTTGTATTTCGACTCCGACATCGCCTAGTGGGAAAATCTCGGGACACACCTGTTTTGGTACTTGGTTTCAGGAGGCCCAGCACATACAGACGTGTATGGAATCCATTATGAGGCGGATCCTCTGCGTATTGGCACTGCTTCCGATTATGGTATCAGATTACCGATAATGAAAGTTGATCCTCACGATGCTATACTTTACCAGACCGAAAGGTTCCTCTTTGAGTGTTATACCTATTTTTGCAAAGAAGCGATATGCTGTCACTCACAGAGAGCAGAAATTTGATGCGAAGCATGAAAGAGTACTGAATTGGTCCAAGAGGACTATCGCCAAAAATAGGATCAGACCTTATTTGGCACCGATTCTGCCGTCTGTGTTTACAGCTCAGGGATGAAACATAGACAGACTACCAAGTCACTGTACATACAGGCTTGCTTATCTGGAGATCTGATTGGCACTACTTCCAGTGTTTTCATTAATTATCAAAATTCGATTGTGTTCCTCTCCACGGTGCTGGGCCAACAATGCCAAACAAACTGCATATGTTAACGCATGGACGATTTCAAGCCCCCATCTTTTTCCAGCCTCCTAGCCAGGGATATTCATTGTCTGTATCTTTAAAATTTCTACAACACTTAGGTACCAAATTAGCCTTCCTTCCCTCACAGTAAGTTCCAGAGAGGATTTTGACTTTTAACTGATGGATTTCTGAAAGTTATACTTGTTGCGATAACGAATATTTTCTTAAGCTTGTTACTGTTTTTGACTGATTCTGTTTCAGGAAGA